TTTCTGAAATAACAGATGGCGTTAAGCGAATTTCTGGATTATTTTTTTCGATAATTTTATAATATTTTGTTGATATGAAAAATAGAAATATTTTATTTTTTACTTTTTACAAAAGAATTTCTATATAATTGTTTACGTTTCCCTCAGAAAACTTAGCTTGGAGCATCAAAAGGTTGGCAATTGATCTTTATCAGGGCGATTCTATTTTAAGGAACAGTACTAAAAATAGGTGTATTATTTGTTTGAATGTCGGAATTCCTCCTTTTTCTACTAAAAATTTAACTAGTTTATATAAAATTAAAATATCTTTGCAAGAATCTTTACAAATATAGATACGTACAGTCGATTTTTAATCATAAATAATAGACATAATTATTAAAATTTTGTTAAAGATACATTTCGAATTTGTAAATGATGAGTTATATAAAATATCTAACATGAAATTTTAAAATATATACTATTATATGGAGCTCTTACTTTGATCATTTGATATGCAATTGAGCTATAAACACCTTCTTCAACTCCTGATTAAATATTAATATAATAAAATTTATACGGAATTAATACATTTATTTAATTAATAAATGCTTAATGCACGAAAAAACATGCCAAAACAGAAGTGATTTAGCTTAAAAAATAATAATTTTAGTATTTATTTAAAGAATCTCACAACTGGCTGAAGCTAAGAAAAGCGCTTTCAACTATTTCAACTATAGATTGATACTAAATAATATCTTTCTTTTAAAATTAACCCATAAAACCTGAATTCTTGGCAGAATATTCATCCCCACCTTCCACCTTCACAATATTTAAATATTTGAAGTAATTCCAGTTTTTTCTCTCATTTATAAATATGATTTTAACTAGGAAAAAAGAAGAAGAAGAAGGGGGAAAAAAAGATGTTTACAAACCGGTAAATTTTAAAAATTCTCCCACTAAATAATATTTTAACTGCACAGGAACACGTAAATAGTTTTTAACAACACTCGAAACATGTTTATTTACATTATAGGATTTATTTGACCTTTAAAAAAAGGTGAATTATTGCGATTATTAAAGTTAATTTTCCTGTTATAAACAAAGATTTTGATTTTATATAATCATCTTTAAAGGTATAATATATGATATCATTTAGTAACTGTTGCAAAATATCAAAAAGTGGAATTCAATATGTAAAATTTTAATAATAATAAAATTAATTTTACAAATGTCAGTATTAATATCCAATATTTTTGATGAAAGAAGATAGCATTTGTTTACTTGGAATCAAGATTTAATTAGCTGTAAAATAATACTTTTAGTTTGTCTAAGGCCCCCTTTTCTACTTTGTGTAATCAAAATAAATCAAAAACATAAATATCGAAGATCCTAACTTTGAGGTTGGTGCATTCAATGTAATCTGTTATATCAATAAGTGAAAGTCGGGTGGTGACTTTCGCTCTCTCTCTCTGCATCATTGCTCCGATGCACGGATGCAGTTTTGGATGTTCAAGCATGAAATGAATCTGCAATAATTCATATAATTGAGAATTGCGCTTTACTGCACAGAATAAACATGCGATGTAGCTTTTATTTATTTAAAAATATTTTTATTTAAAGAATTTCAAAGGATGCTTTCATAATCTTATCGCCTTTCTATGTAAAGCTTTAGTATAAAGGGGAAAAAATTTGTTGGTCTTTATTTTTACCAAGCTGTGTAAAATCGTATCAATATCTTAGTTACAAGACCACCTGGGGTTGAGACAGAAATCAAATGAATAAAACATGAAGTATGGAGGGTTGTGATCTTGTGATTCATTAGACTTGGAGGGAGAAAGGAAGTGATATTTTCTAGGGAGGAAACGTTTAACGAACTCGTTTGGGTGTTTTTGGTGTAATTTCTTGAGGTGGAGTAAGTTATATGGATAGTTTCAACATTATAGTTGACGTGCAGTGGGATGTTTCGATTCAATTCAGTCAATAATTGTGATTACTTCCATAATAAACCGTAAAAAGGAATAAAATCTCTAGTAGAGAACTGTCGAACTTCTAACCGACGAATTTTTAATGAAGTCGAGAAAATAAGCATGATAATCTAGAGAAAAAGCATCCGAGAAACGTGAGAGATTAAAGATTATTCAACCCAACAGAAAGCAATATTTTTACAATAAAGGGTGTGTTGTACGTTCGTCCGTAAAAGACATTAAAGTTATATCTCCGGCTTGTTTGTTACTAATGACGTCACCGCTTCTTAAAAGAGTCATATTAAATCTCATACGGAATAAGAACCACCCATAGGATAACCCCACCTCACCCTCACCAACTTTATTTTTGATTGTGGGTTAATTCCCCCCAAAACATATACAAACACCGCCGTAATTATCCAGTTAATTACTAAATCACGATTCTGTCACCAGATTATTTCCCTCTTAGTAAGTTCCCACCAAAAAAAATCATCATATTTCTTACAATTTACTATCAAAGGACGGTCGCAATGAACAAAAAAAAACATGTCGTAAACCTTCCTAATTTTAACTAAAAATTTAATTATGTAATAATAGCCACGCTTGTTAATTTAGAGCGAGTTTAATATGCTTATTTTTATGAAAATCGTGCTATCTATCAGATATAAAATAGGATAATTGTCATGTTACGTCAGTTGATTAGTCGTGTTTATTCGTTTGCTTATAAGCAGGGGGCGACTAGTCGGAGCCTTTTACCATACACCGGTCATACACCTCGAGCTTCGGAATCCATACGAACTCTTATACACCGCATAAAGTGCATTTCTTACCGACAAATAAAACTCGTCATGCGTGTTGTGTATTGTTTCTCACTAGAAATACTCCGAAGATTTTTTTTATTCTTCTTCAAAAATACAAATAGGCGTCTTATGTCTGGGCGTCAATCCAGGTTTATGACGTCATGACTCTTCCGCCCATCCAATCACAAGGGCGAGAATATCCCGCTAGCCATTAAAAAACATTTGTTAGGAGTCGGTGTGTTTGTCAGTCATCGATAGATTTTTTTTCATCTCTCTATTCTACTAAGTTTTATTACGATTTTTACACTGGCTCGCCTTTTTTTCTTACTTCTATCCATCTTTTGTGTTCTGAAAGGTAAAATGTTGCGTTTTTAACCTCCAAAAGATAAATTGACATAAAGATAATGATGGGAAGTCCTCGTTTTCTTTCGTTCATTAATATTCTACTTATTACTTGAGCGTTAATCTGTGCTTATCAATAAGCACAGATTAACGCTCAATAAACACGATCTATTCAGATTTAATCTAACTTATAGATTCACCGTGATCAATTAATTAGTACGATTCGATAGTATCTCCATGAAATACAACCAAGTATTTTGAATTAACACAAAAAATAATTAAAAAGTTTTAATTTATGTATTAATAAATATAAAATTTTATTATCAAGATTTTGATGAGAGAGATTAGATTAGAGAAAAACAAAATTAAACTTAGTTTGTTTTATTAAGATTTATATCCAAGACGGATACAAAAAACATCATAAATCTCTGAGATGAACCGAGACGAAAATGATAACGATCACTGACACATGTTCTGTGGATTATTGCGATGAATGGATTTCATAAAAATCAAGTTTGGATACAGTAAATCCCACGCATCAATGAAGCATCGCTACGCTATAAAGAATTACAATAGAGGAATTTCCAGATTTGCTAATTTATTCATCAAATTTCGCTTAATTCTAAGCGTTGCATTTATTTAAAAATCGAATTAGCAAATATAAACTCTGACATTTTATATAAACAGGCCTAATCGGGGAGAAAATCTGTAAGGACCAAGTAGGAATGACTAACGAAACGAAGCGAGCACGGAATTTAGTAAATCACAGAAAGTTATAGGTCATCGCGAGGTGAACCCAGCAACAGAATTTAGATTATAACCTCACGGGTCATTAAAATGTACAAAACACGAATTTAATATCAGACCGTATGTCTCCGAGTAGAATCATGCACCAATTGGTTCATCTCAGTGACCTAGAGCCTAACATACTCGGAAATGGTTAATCTCAATAGACGAATCAATTTCTACTAACAACAAACGGGATTATCATCAAGGGATTTCTATTATAATAAACGTTATCCACTCAGCAAAATAAATTAATATACAATAAATGCATAAAGATATTAATAATAAAAACATCCCTCCACTTCATCGATAAAAATAAAAAATGGAAGGAAAAAGAAAAGAAAACGATGCATTAATATAGGATAGTATTTTGCAAGATTGTTTTCCTATATTAAACAAATAGAGTATACAGCTTAACTAAGTGAAGATTCGAAAATGCATCGCCTCAAGTACTTCCATTTATTATTTATAATCTCATTAGAACAATGTTTCGAATTAACAAAATGTAAAATCAAGGCGGAATTCATAAATTGATAAAGTAACTTATGATTATTAATGAATTATCCAGACGAATTCTGGATAGAATTTAAAATATGAAGTGTTCATTGGAAGGTATGTGTATTGCTGTTGCAATATTAAGACCCCTGGGGGTACAAGAGTAATGGCAAAATGACTAACCGATGCTCGATTCGACATATTTACAGATTAAGAAGCAAACCGGACTCAAGGAATATTTTAATGGATTTAAATAAATAATTGTTAACCACTCGAAAAATATTATTATTAGATAAATATCATCTATCAACGTACCCGTATTCCTCTAACAATAATATGTCTAGTTTGTAACGCGTGCTAATGTAAATTATTCGTTAACGCGACGCGAAACGGAGCCATCAACAAGGAGCTTAGCACACTTTTAAAATCCTAATCGTTAGAGTTTAGTTTGACAATTGATAGCGACTGAGTTAATTGCAGACTTTTCGCTTAACTTTTCCAACGTCTGAAATGACATAAACGCAGTTGGAATATACTCAAAAGCGTTACCACTTTTGATTATTATCCAATATACTTTTATATAACAGAATTTTGTACGCTAAAAACGACTAGAGTGGAAGTTAACGGGTTTAAAAGTTGTGCGAGCGACGAATCGATTCAAAGGAACCGCCACGCGAAGCGGGAAACTCAACATGACTCGTATTTAAATATGGAAACGATAGAGAACCTAACCGGGAAGAAAATTTCGTATAAAAGATGTGGCGATTACCATTTTAATAGAAAATTCGACCAATAGTTTGTAGAAAATCGATCAATTATATTCCTTCTGGCTAAATGATTGGACGTTAACGTCTGGCGAAATGCACTATGGGTATAGCGGTGACGATGCCAGTCTCACATGTTAGTCGATGGTGAACGCGCGCGTTGAGCACATCTGTCCTGTTACTTTATTTTATAGTGTTGGTGTTTATCATAACCAATCAAAATTCGTGTCAAAAACAGAGCTCCGCTTCCTGCGTACAGGATGGACAGGCCGGAATCAGACGTAGACGGCAATATGGTGAGTTCGCTCCCCCAATTACTTAGCTATAGTAACTTTAATAAGTATTAAAAAGAAGAGAAAGTGCACTTGTGATGCGACCTAACACGTGTAGTGACACGTGTTTGTTCCTAAATTTTTTCCTCCCATGAAGAATGTTTAATAAAAAAGTAGATACTCGATGAGCGCATAGTTTAATTATATAAAAACTAACGTGCCGTATTAGGGTATTTTGGGAGGTTATCAAATGTTCGGATCCAACTTTAGTACGCTCGAACCTGTTACTTTTAGGTACAAAGTCCAGTTTTCGCTATCGTGAAAGTGAATTTACTATGTTTATTATAATTAATTGCGGTAAGTATTTACTTAAAAGATAATTCGGCCTTATGTTTTTAATATATAAAACCTGTGGTTTTTAGTTTTCGTCCATAAACAAGAAATATTAAATTAAATTATATTATTAATGTAATTACTAAAAATGTTGCATTTTAATATGTCGCCGATATTATTTTAATTAAAAAAGTAATAAAACTTCATCGCTTCATGCAAATGATGCATTATAATTGTTATTAATTATTCGGATGTGGTGAGTGCTAGATATAAAATTTATTACTTTAATTATTTTGTAAACAACTAACGATGATATAAATGCCTGGAATGTGTTTTGGGTGGTTTCTATTTTGCATAGATTTACCTCTAATGTATTTTATTAAGTTGTGACACGATAGAAAACCGGATTTGCCAACTCATAGATCATAAATCGCTATTGAAGACTACAAATCAGTACTGAATAGCATCGTTTAATGTATGTACATTTTTATTTTTCAAATTCATATACGATCTTATGTTGAATTATGTTGGATTGTTCACCGACAATCTTATTCTTATACAACTAAACTTGTAAGTAAAACACTACTAAAATCAGGGAATTTTTGTTTCGGAGAGTGATGTGTCATTCGAAAATCGGGGAACTGAAATAGGAAGACCAAAGCTGCCCCAGTTCCAAATAAGGTTAATCTCTATTAGTAAGTAAGAGTATCGTGTTTTCAGCTAACTTAATCCCATTATGGATTATAAGGATTCGAACCCAGTGGCAGAGAAACTATATATTTTTTTTCTTATATATTCTATCATCTCTGCTTAGTTCATTAAAACTTTTTCCGCTTCTCCCCCCACTGACTCGATTCTATCAACATGAACGACTTAAACAGCACTACAAGAGGATTGACTATCGTCAGTTTACTAAATTTAATATGGACTTTAGCATAAATGAAAGGGTGTAGTCCTGCTGCGAGAATTAATAATTTCCAGAAACTGCAATAAAAGTCTCATAATACGTTCATCGTCATTTTATGGTTAATAGTAGATATATCATGAAAGTTTGTTTAGATCAAGTTTTATTCTTTAAATTCAGGAATTTATTTTTTTTAAAAAATAAAAGTTTTCTAAGAAGAGTTTTGACTCATCAATAATAATAATAATAAACAGTTTATCTGTAATTATTTTATAATGCTGATAAAACTGATTTGGATAGATAAATTGTTGTTAGTTTGTATTTAAAATAGCTTGAGGCCATTTTCAGAATAACTCTGTTAGAAATCATTCTATCAATTTTATCTTTTCATATATGATTAGTCATCCTGCATATCTGTTAAAAATAAAATGACATTGTGGCGCCAAATATTTGGAATCTCTTCTGAAGAGAGGAGAGAAAAAAAAAGTAAACATTAAAAAATTTAACGGATGAAAAGGAGAAGCAAAAAAATAAAAAAATAACTCTCAGCTAATAAGCCAAAAGTTTGAAAGCAATAATAAATATTAGCTTGTTTATTAACGATTTAAAAGTAGCAGTGCTCTTAAATGAAACAAAGTTGTTTATTTTAATAAGTTAATTTTAAGTAGCAGATGACAAAAATTTAACTTTAGGATATTGTGCAATAATTTACTGGAAAACTTGCAAAATGCAAACATTAAAATTATAGATAGCAAAACAAATTTATGGAAGTTTTAAAAGATATATAAAAATATGCAAAACAGTTGTGATAAAATCCATGCTTACAGAACTGAAAACTAATTTTATCATTGTCTCTATCAGTAATTTTAAGTTTGTTTTCAGAATATATAATTTAATTTTTTTCTTCTAGTTTAGACATTGGTTTAATTTCCTAAAGATAAGTGTTTTATAGTATTTTTCTAATCTATCAAAAATATTTCGAATCAAATTCGATAATTGTTAACAAATGCTATTTCCCCTGTAAATATTAATTCAAAATTATCTACCAAACTTTAGATAATGTTATCGTTAAGATTAGGATTTTGATCGATTTATTATTTGAATATTTTAAGATGTTATGCAGATAATTCTTCCCCATTTATGCAAATTGATTTCGATTTTTAGGGAGAAAAATGACAGTTTGATTTTTATTTCTTTATAAAAATAATATTGTCATTAATAACGTGAAGTAAACAAAATAGAAAAAAAAATTGTTAATTGTCTATTGCAATATGTTAAATAATGAGAAAATCTTCCGTTGTGACATCGTTTATTACTTTTCGTTCTATTGGCTAATTTTAAAAAATTGTAAAGAAAAAAAACGCGCACATTTTATCTCGAAATGTACATAATTATAAATTTGCATTTCAATTACACATTATTGTAGAAAATTCCTAGAAATTGATATTTTCTAAATCCCCGGCAGAATAGCCTATAGGAGTGAAGGAACGTTTCAAAATTACTTCAAAAATTTTAATTAAGAGCACATTTGAAACGGAACTTAACTGAACGGATTAAAAGTTGATTAGTTAAACAGTGTTATAGATATGGTTTATTATAATATTTCCAATGATTTTTACTAGAAATCTTTCTCTATCGTGTTTGTGTTATAGCTATTCGGTAAGGTAATTTGAGTTGTTTCAGTAAACAGATGTCGCGCCTTCTTCCGGAGAGGGAGATGTAGCCTCTAGCAATCTGACCAATGACATGTTTTTGAAATTCTATAAGAATTTTCATTAATTTTTCACCATTTACTGTTTATGCAAAACAATTTTTCCCATCTGTAAAGGGAGGTTATCCACAAAAATACACGCGAAAAAAGCAGAAAATCTAGTCTAATAACCGATTCATTTTTCTAGTATATTATAGAATAACCGGTGATGACATCATTTTCAAAAATTTCGAAAATCATTAATGGTTATAAAATGATACAGTTGAAGAAAATGCTTTTAACTTTTTCTTTTAAGTGCCGCTCTCATTAGCGTCGGATGATAAATAAATTTTTGTCTAATANGTAAAACTTTTTCGTCGCGTTCGCGACTTTTAAATAATGCATAAATCTTCGAGGCGCGAGACCCCTCGGACCGCAAGGCATAGGTGGGGCCCACGTTGCCCATACGCCGCCCTTGGTCATAGAAATGATGTAATTTGAATATAAATTATTTATAAATACGTATGTCAAGTTATATTTTTATTATGACGCAAAATATATTTAGGAGTTTACGACCACTCTGCTGGGTGAGATGTTGCTGAAACAAAAAAAGTTATGTATTCCATCACGTACGTAAACAGTATCGTAATTCGTCAAGTGAAAATCAGCAAATTCGTAAAATTTTTGTTTATTTTGAACAATCCGGATAATAGAGGTCCGGATAATCGATGTTCTACAGTATTCATATTTAACAAAGTATGAATTTGAATATGAATTTTAAATAAGCACAAAAATTGAGTATGATGGTATATTAATTAATATTAAAAGTAACCAACCATAGAAATAATACATTTTGAAGGAAAATAGTACAGTTTTTTAAGGAGTTTCAGTACGTTTTGAAATTTCATTGTGGCAACGCTGGTCATAATCTGAAGTCATTGCATTCGCTATATCGTTAATATCTCTCGTCGGAAACTTCTCTCACTTCTACGTGATGATTTTAAACTCTGTCCAGACTGTAGTATTTTATGTAAAAACTTTTTAGTATGCCACACCACGTGTATGCCTTCATAATATCATATTTGGAGCACTTTTCTACTTAATAAATAATAATAACAGTCCAACGATTTGTAATTTTTAAATGGTTGCTTTGTATAATAGCAGGTTATGTCCATAAAGTAGCCTTGCAAGTCGAGCAGAATAATTTCAGGCCATTTTGTGGTATCGTTGCTGAAGAAATTGCAGATCAAATTGCTTATCTAGATACCGAGCTTTAGCCTCATCATCCAAAGTATAATAATGATCACTCGTAATTATTTATTTTTATTTTATAACTGTTTTGGTTTTTAAAATGTTAAGACGATATTTCAACGTGTTAAACGAGCGTAAGTGCACAACCACAGAATTTCACTGCTTTCATGATTCTTTGCGTTTTGTTTGTTGTTTTACACAGGTGAATATCAGCATCGCTTATTGGCTTATCTATTCAAAAAGGTTTCATTTAATCTCTAAATAGCTTATCTACTACAAGTATTTCTTCTCATTCGCACGGTCCTGACGGCGTGCCTTAAATTAAGTCCATTGTAAATATTTATGATAGGTAATTGGTTGTTCACTTACAGCGCTTCAAACGTATGGGTCAGATATGCGACGTTTTCTTTCATGATCCGTTTTGTCAACTTGTTTTTCAAACTTAATCTAATCTTATCCTTAATTTTTAAACATTATTGTTGATCTCTTCGTAGACTGCATTTTATACCAAAGATCCACTACTCAAAAACCTTATAAACTGCAGCCATATTTATTAGCAAATTCAAATGTTTTCGGTCATCTTTAATGACCTTTATCAAGAACAAACGAAATCGAATGGTGACAGATTTGTATTAACGATAAATGCGTTTTTTAAAAATTTTTTAAAAACTTAACATTTGATAAACTGTTGAATTCCTTTTGTAAATTATTCTTTTTATTTTTTTGTTTGTTGCTGCTCCTATTCTTTTGTAGACATTGTTTAGCAGGGCCCTGTATTTCATCACTGTATACTCTTTTATTTTATTTCTTATATTCAGCTCGTTTCTGCCTGTTTTTGTTTTGCTA